ATTATAAAATGAAAGGCAACTACCACAGGTATCTGGCTGAATTTGCCACAGGGAATGACAGCAAGGAGGCTGCGGAGAACAGCCTAGTGGCTTATTAAAGCTACTAGTGATATTGTAATGACAGAACTTCCATATTTTACAATTTTTCCATATTTTACTATGAAATTCTTAATTCCCCTGATGGTGCCGGCAGGTTGGCAAACGCAACTTTTGATGATGCAGTTACAGAACTGGATATTCTGAGTGAAGAAAGCTATAAGAACTCCACACTTGTCATGCAGTTGTTACGGGATAATGTGACACTGTGAACTTCAGACATGCAGGGGGATGATGAAGAGCAGAATAAAGAAGTGCTGCAGGATGTGGAAGATGAAAATCAGTGAGACATAAACGTCAAGAAGAGAAACCATCTCTGACCACCCCAGTTCTCCCCATCCCACCCCTTGGAAATTCCCCCATTGTCACTGAGAACCACCAAATCTGACTTTTACATTTGGTCTCAGAATTTAGGTTCCTGCCCTGTTGGGATTTCTTGGTTTGGGTTTTGTTCTTTTTTGTTTTTTGTTTTTGCTTTTTTAAACCATTTTCAAAAGTTCTTAAAGGCAAGAGTGAATTTCTGTGGATTTTACTGGTCCCAGCTTTTAGGTTCTTTAAGACACTCATAGGACTGCATAGAGACATTTTCAGCATTACTGTGCCAGTATGTGCCAGATCTGTGGTAACATCACCATTAGAAATGGAAATTACATTTAAAAGCCATTATACTAGTAGATGACGGAGGCATCTAAAAGAGAGGTTATCACACTATAGAGGCATATGTGGTGACATTTTTCCTTTTTATAATTGTTTAAAGGGAGTTTTATACCAATGTTTAAAAATAATTGGGTGTTAGTTTAAAGTGGTTAAAGGTTGTTTGGGGGAGTTTATTTATAATGGTTTTGCTGTAAAAACTGTTTCAAACTCTGCTGAGATGTTGCTGAAATGCGTGGCTGCTCATTCTTGCCTATGATTATTCTCCCTCTGAAGTAGGTTTGCGTTGAAGGTGGTATGGAGAAGCCTGCATGCGTGTTCAGTCCTATTTCTTCTCCTTCCCTCTCCCTCTGGGGCACCCTCACTCCTGCCCATTTTTGCCCGCTTAGCCTCTTTCAGTCTGTGTGACTTGAAGCTAATTTGTACTACTAGATATCTGACTGGAACCCCAGATACAGAATCTGTATTCTTAGTGAAACACAGAATGGAATTAACATTAAACTTAAGTAAAACAAACCTAAATTTAAAATGCCAAATATTATTTTTAAAAAAAGAAGATGGAAGGAATATATACTCAATGTACTAAAAGGAAATGGTTGATGTCCAAACATTTCAAGAGGTAGCATATGATCAAGAACCGATGGTACTGAAGAAAGAAGTTGAAGCTCTGTTGAAGACATTGGCAAAAACCAAGACCACTAGGAGCGGAAGTCTCCAGGACCATCAACAGAGAAGAGCCGAGAGCAGGACCCTACCCAGAGAACCAGAGATCCTTGAGATGGAGACAGAAACGATGACATGGAGTGATGAAGTGGCTGGGGACTTTGGATCCAGAGAGGGAGAGGGCTTGTGGGCCGAAGACTGGAGTGGGTAGGGGGCGGGTTTCTAGGATATACCCTTTGGTCCGTTGATGATGCATGGAGGGGATTGGAACCATAGCAATGAAACGATATACGATGGAATGAATGTAAAACTAAAGTTCTCTCATGTAAACTATCATATAATTCATAATAAAACATTTAAAAAAAAGACTCCAGGACTTGAGAGAATACAAATTGAAGTTTTACAAGAAAACGATGCCGCACTGGAGGCAGTCCACTCATCAATGTCAGGAAATTTGGAAGGCAGCTACCTGGCCAACCAATTGGAAGATAGGCATATTCATTCCCATTCCAGTGAGAAGTGACCCAGCTGAATGCGGAAATCATCAGGCAATATCATTACTATCTCATGCAAGTAACATTTGCTGAAGATAATCAATGGTTGCAATAGTACATCAACAAGGAACTGCTTAAAATTCAAGCAGGATTCGTGAGAGGACTTCAAATGATGACTGTCCTTACTGACATTATCTGGATAATATTTTTTTGCTTTTCTTTCTTTTTTTAATTTTTTTGTGTGAATTGACTGAAAGTTTACAGGACAGACAGTTTTACATTCAACAAATCATATACCTTGTTTTATTACAATGATTATAATCCCCTCCGTGTACCATAGAAATAATAGTATTTATCTCTGTTCACTTTAGGTTGTTTTTTTTTTAAAACACTCAGGCATATATGATAATTTACACCATTCTGCAAGTCTGCCTCCTGGCCACCAGCTCTCAATCCCTCTCTCCATGTCCCTGCCTCTGCCTCCATCTCTGGTGTCGCTGTTTCTCTGGATAAGGTCCCGCCTTCTGCTTGTGCTCTTCTCCCTTGATGGTCCTAGGGTCCTTTGTTTCTGGACTGTAAGATTAACTACTCCCCATTTTTGATAGACAACGTCTACCTTTAAATTGTGACAGTCACAATTAGTCATTATAACTATTACTCACTATTGAATCCTAAGAATCTTTTAACCAGATCCATCTAGACAAGGTGAAAACTATTCAGTGTGGACTCTTTTTTTCCCCCCACATTCTTACACTAAACTCCCTCTTGAAACCTTGTAAGCCAGTCTCTTCATGCCTTTATTGCCCCCTCATTTTAGGTAGCCAATGTCTAAGTTGCCCATCCCTATTTACCCTGTGTACAGAGGGGATAGCATTGATACTTGATGTGAAGACTTCTTCCCTCTCTGTTGATATATAGAGTTACTACCTCCATAAGGAGCTCTGGTAGCGTAGTGGTTACGAATCGGGCTCTGAACCGCAAGGTCAGCAGTTCGAAACTACCAGCTGCTCTGCGGGAGAAAGAAGATGCGTTCTGCTCCCATACAGATTTACAGCCTCGGAAACCCTGTACAGGTTGCTGTGAGTTGGAACTGACTCCATGGCACACAGCCACCACCACCTCCATGAGTATAGATCAGGTTCATCAAATTTTAGCAATTTACCCTCGTTTCCTTCATCAAAAATTGTGTTTTGGGTTTTTTTTTTTTTTTATCTTCCTCTAGTCAAGTTCTGATTATCAAGCCATCGCAGCTAGGTCAAATGGGTTCTATCTGCAAATTTGGGTGTTCTAGTGCGTCTCCTCTCACTTCATATCCGCTAGATGCTTCACTCTCAGCTCTAGCCCTCTGTAGCTATGTCCTTGTCCGTGGGCTCAGATGTCCCCAGGTCTCACCGCACTTTGGACCAACCAGCCCTTCCTCTTCTCTCTCTCATCTCCAGGTCAACAGTAGTCAATGGACCATGGTTGAACTCAGCCCATTTCTTCATTGCTGCCTTTCCCCCTCTTCCACTCACCAGTAGACCAATGTGGTCATCAGCATACTTACATGCTTGGTCATGTGTTCCCTTTGAGTTTCAGTCTTAGAAGGGGGGTTTGTCCTGAATGAACTTGATTGCTTGCCTTGATGGCTTCCTGGCAAACAGCTTGTTTATTCTTGTAGTAACCAGTCATACTGCCATTTTTGCTTTGGGTTTTTCCTGCTGATCTTTCTTTGAAGATGTATCTTCTGTTGCTCTAGCTGTTCCAGGCTGGTCTGCTTGTCCTTTCTAGTGGGGATGCCCCACCTCAGAAGGTTCTGGATGGAGCTCAGGATTCTACCTAATGTCCTATACACTGCAAAGGCTCTCTGCAAGAGGCCTATTTCACTGGGCAAGTTCTAGAACCTCTTTTAGGTTTTCCAGTCAGTATAGGCCGAAGACAGGTTTACAGGCCGTTAGATGGATCTTGAATGACAGCAGAGAATACCAGAAAGGTGTTTCCTTGTGCTTTATTGATTGTGTGGAATGAGACAGTGAATGGATAACATTGCAAAAAATGGAAGTTCCAGAGCACTTGCTTATGCTCATGAGGAACCTGTACATGGATGGAGTTAAAACAGGGGAGACTAAATGGTTTAAAATAGGTGTGCTAGGGTTGTATTCATTCCCCTACTTATTCTATCTATATTATAAGCAAATAATACTAAAAGCTGGATTATATGAAGAATGTGACATCAGGATTGGAGGAAGACTCATTAGCAACCCTTTGAGCTGCAGATAATACTACCTTGCTTGCTGGAAGTAAGGAGAACTTTAAAATACTTAAGAAGATCAAAGACAATAGCCTTGAGTATGGATTGCACCTCAGTGTAAAGAAACAAAATTCATCATGATAAATGCAGAAAAAATTGAAATAGTCAAAGACTTCATTTTGTTTGGATTCACAGTCAGCAGTCATGGAAGCATCTGTCAAGAAATCAGTGTGTTGCATTAGGCAGATCTGCTGCATAAGACCGCTTTAAAGTGTTCAAGTGTTCATTTAAGGACAGTGAATAAGGAAGACCATAGAAGAACTGATGCATTTGAGTTATATATAGTGTTGGCGATTATTTATGGACTGCCAAATCACCAAATGAATCTCTGTTGAAACAGTATAGCCAGAATGCTCTTTAGAAGCCCAGCATGGTGAGAATTCATCTCTCATACATGTTCAAAGGAGGGACCAGTACCTGGAGAACATCATCCTTAGTAAAGTCAGCAAAAAAGAAGACATTCAGTGAGATGAGTTAGCACAGTGGCAGCGACAGTGGACTCATATGTAACAATTATGAGGAAGGCACAGGACTGAACAGTGTTTTGTTCTGTTGTGCATAGGGTCCCTGTGACTTGAAACTGACTTGATGGTACCTAACAACAACCACCACCAAAACACAATTCATCTCGGTGGGGGGGGGGGTGTCTTCCTCTTTTTCCTGACCTTTCACTTTTCCAAGCATGATGCAGTAGACTGTCTTAAATAATTTTGTGTCATTTTTGGTACGTGAATCCCTAATATATAGCACCTAGAATTGACAAAATCCATTGTAAATACCTTTGTGGTGTTCTGTTTCTCCAGGCTCTGGAATGTTTCTGCCAGGCAGCATCTGAAGTGGGCAAAGAGGAATTCTTAGATCGCTTGATCCGCTCAGAGGATGGAGAGATTGTGTCTACTCCAAGGATGCAGTATTATGATAAGGTACCCTGGTTTGGCCCTCCTTACACAGCAAAGATGTTGAAAATTATTGCATGTAGTAATTCAGATTAATCTTCTACTTATATTAAGGCAAAACAAAATCATATATGGGAAATGTTTGTTTCCATAGTTAAAAATCAAAACTAATCTGTGTGTTTTGTTATTTGTGACTGGTTGGCATCACAAAGCGGTTTGGGATTGCTGATAATATTATACTATTATAACTCTTAATCTGGCTCCTGATTACACAAATACCAAAGGGCTTCAAAAAGTACATAGAAAAATTCCATTATTTTTAAATTGCATTTATCCACCAACTTTTTTAAACACCCAAGTAAAAGCTATGGCACTAACCCAATGAACTTTGTGTACCCCGCACTTATTTCTCTTCTATGTATGGTAATGTACTCAAATTATATCCTGTGAGGGCCACCCTCACAATTGTTACCACGCTTGAGTCCATTGATACTGCCACTTTGCCAATCCATCTCGCTGGGGGTCTTCCTCTTTTTCTCTGACCTTCCACCTTTATCTTAGCTATTATTATAGTGGTAATATCTGGGGGGAAAAAATAGAAAAGTTTTGTAACAAACCTGTCATAACTGTAGAATGTAAATGTTGTTTTCAACATCTTTGATTTAATTTTAATCTTGGCTAGTTATCTTTCTAATTAATTTGATATGCACTGCCGTATTAATTTTAGTGGAAATTTTCTCCATTTCTCTTTAGGTGTTGCGTCTATTAGACGTTGTTGGTTTGCCTGAATTGGTTATTCAGCTAGCTACATCAGCAATCACAGAAGCCGGAGATGACTGGAAAAGTCAGGTGAGCACTGCCTTCATGTAGTTGTATAGTTGTTCTCGTGGAGGTTCGTCACAGGTGTGGTGTTTTGATTTATGTTGCTCTCTTCTTCTTCCAACTGTGGTATTTAGGCTACTTTAAGAACGTGCATTTTCAAACACCATTTGGATTTGGGTCACAACAGCCAAGCATATGAGGCCTTAACCCAAATTCCTGATTCCAGCAGGTAACCTCACCTAATCCTTTTTTAAAGAAGGCAATTGACCAGTTCTGTTAAACCAGTAAGATGGTTTACTATCATGTTCTTTTCTTTCCTAGGCAGTTAGATTGTTTACGGCAGCTGGTGGTAGTTCTCTGTGAGCGTTCACAGCTACAGGACCTTGTGGAGTTTCCCTACGTGAATCTGCATAATGAGGTAACTGTCTTGATCCACTGATACTTGGAAACACTGGTAGTTGTCTAGATGCTACTCATTTTGATACTTTATTTCTTCCCCTTAGGTTGTGGGAATAATTGAATCACGAGCTAGAGCTGTGGATCTTATGACTCACAATTACTATGAGCTCCTGTACGCCTTTCACATTTATCGTCACAACTACAGAAAGGGTGAGCTGTGGAAGCAATTTTTGATGGAGGCAACCTTATTAATTTAGTATTATTTTACAAAAGTACTGTGTGTTTGACTTATGTGAATTTTACAGTATTCTTATGACTGGATAAAAGCTTTTATTTTTATTTTTAATTTTTTGTGAATTTAGTGAAGGTTTATAGACAAGATCATCAGTTTCACGTTCAACACTTGGTTTCATCTCAATGATTGTAATCCCCTTCATGAAACAACCCTGTTTCCATACTACCCACCTTCCCAGCACTTGTGAACTTTGTCCTTAGGTAAATGTTGCCCCCTTGATTTTGAATGATTAGCCATTCCAGGATGAGCATACCTTACTAGTGCTGTTGCCCCTCACCCCCACATATATCTATCTATGGCTTAGCTGAAAATTGTCCCTCAAGGCCGAGTTCCTCTCCAGACCTGAAGTCTTTTCACCAGCATTTGGGGAAGTTATGCTTAAGTACCAGTTTACCCTCCCTCATCCTCTTAAAAAACTAACTACTTATTGGCCTTGAAGATAGGCAGACCGACTCCCATTTTAGAGGCATTTCCAAAAGGAACCCTTGGGGTACCGATGATTAAGCATTCTGCTGCTGACCAGAAGTTCAGCCAGCAGCTCTGTGGGAGAAAGTCCTGGCAAACTGCTCTCCTAAAGATTACAACCAAAAAAACCCTATGGGCTAGTTCTGCTCTGCCACATGGGGTCGCTATGAGTCCAAAACTTTGAACAACAGAGACATTGCCTTTGAGGTGTCATCCTACAGTACCTTCTGTCCAGCTATCAAGGGAACTCCAGCTTTCTCACTAGTTATTGTTGTCACATGTTGTCGTATCAGTTCTGACTCAAAGCAAATCTCTTTCTGATAGAAGGAAACCCAGCCCGGTCCTGCACCATCCTCACAGTTGTTAGGTTTGAGCCCACTGTGGCAGCCAATGTTAGCAGCCCATCTTGTTGCCTCTTCCGCCTTTTCACTGACCTTCCACTTTACCAAACATGATGTCCCTAGAGGTATTTGAATGCCTGTGGTTGGTTGTGAGTTCCTATGTCATTTTGTCATTGGCTACCTACCTCCGTTTCCTTATTTCGGTTTCAGCAATATTCTGACTGCTTAGGTACAAAGGGGTTGGTTGCAAAAGGTTCATGGAAAAATTCCATCTTTTCATAAATCCTATATTTAGTTTCATCTCAATGACTATAATTCTCTCGGGGTTGTATCACTTATCCCATTCCCTCCCTTGTTCCTGACTTAGGTTCCTCCTCCTTTCCCAACACTTCCGAAGTTTTTCCGTGGGTAAATACCACTGGCTTGATCTCAAATGGCTGACCATTCTGTGATTCTGTGGTCATGTCCATGAACTTTGTGTAGCTTAAGCCCCTTTGAATGCTTGTTCCGCATCACTCCATATAAAAGATGACATTCTTTATTTGTGATGGCTGATTTGTCAGATACCATTAATTTCATGCAACATCTTTAAGGAGAGGAATTCATTTTACATTTAGAACTTTTCAAATGATACCTTCATGGCAAATGAAATTTTTCTTTTCAAGTTTTCATTTAAAAAGATGTCAAGTCTATAGAAAAGTTGTTGTTAAGCGCCGTCAAATCAGTTCTGACTCAGTGTCTTTGTACAGGATCACTATGAATTGGAATCAACTTGATAGCACTTAACAACATCAACATAGAAAATTTTCATAAGAATACTGCATGAACACCTATATGCCCTTCACCCAAATTTACCAATTAATATTTTCTGCATCATTTTCTCCTCCTCGCTCCCTTCCCGCCCCTTCTCTCTAGGTAAGTGATGCTGATCGTGAGAGTCAGTTGCAGGCATTAGGACCCTTCAGACATGCATACCAGAGGGCTTCAAACAGTCCATGAGGCAAATGGGGTTAAAAATAGAACTTTCTGCAATTATCAGATTAAGGAACTTAAATGAGTGGATTAAATTTAAGTGCTACATTAGACAACGTGCTGTTCATATTCAGATGCTGCCAGTTGCCACAATGTTTTCACATCGTCACCTTTTAATAGCACTTTTCTCCTGTACTGCACCACACCACACCACTCCCAACTTCCACCCCAATCCACAGTCACACGTTTGGTTCAGGTGGCACATCTCTTTAGTCTCCTTTCACCTGAGCCACTTCTTTCAGCCTTCCGTTGCAAAGTACAGGTAGGTCATTTTCATAGGATGTACTTTGGTTTGGATTTGTGTGGTGACAAAGGTTGTCTTTATCAGAACAGCTAAAATCAAAAGGATTACATGGTCTGTTCTAAGGTCATCTTGTAAGATCATTTCCCCCTTGGAACTTCAAGATTTGTGTTCCATTTCATTCAAGTAACTTTTTCATTAGGTTTCTTGCTGATTTTCCCTAGAAAGAATTTGTAGTCATGTTTGTAGTCATGTTCTCAATACTCCCAGTGACAAAATAATCTAGCTAATCGTGAGATTATAAGAGGGGGCTTCAACAAAGTGCATGAAAGAATTCCATTTCCTTTTATTCCATCTTCCCACGCACTTTTTGAAGCTCCCTCACACACACTGGTAAAGTGCTCTCATTGGTTTGCATTCACAATCCATTACATCAACCTGATTGGAACTGGTTTTAGCTAGATTAACATTGAGGTCTTTCAGGAGTAAAGCTGTTCTAACACAATGTCTTATATATTTCAGACACTCAGAAAACATGTCTTAGGATGAAAAACAAATGATTTTACTTGAAAACTGAAAGAATTTAAAATTTTTTAAATGCTTATTTCAGAAATCCAAGGCATCCCAAAATGTATTTTTCAGTGAGCTCATTCAATTTATGCAGCTAAAGTCCTATAAATTGAAAACACTATGTTCTTTTATTGTTGAAAATATCCACAGCCAAAAACATTCACCAACTCAGCAGTTTCTACAAGTGCACTTCAAGTCATGCAAACATTTCACCCACCCTTCCATTCCCAGAAACTCATTGTGCCCCAAGGTTCTCATCGAATCTTTCAAGTTGATGTTGCCATTCTGATCTCCTATCGATAGTTCTTAAAAGATCATAAATTGCAAGTCAAATGTTTATTACTAGTTAAGGTAAAGTATCGATTAGTGTTAAGATGACTTCAGAAATAGTCTTGATTTAAGATTTAAAGTTTATCTCAGGGAAGTAGTTCCAGGGGTTCAGCCAGCCTTCTGGGTGCAGAAAGCTTGGACGCCATACAAATGTGAGGCTCTGTTTTGCATTTTTCCCGTTTTGATCAGGATTCTTCTATAAGATGTGTGATCAAAATGTTAGTAATGTTAGTCACCATCCAATGGCTGGTCCCATGGCAAAAAAAGATTGTTGTTCCTGAAGGCAATTAGCCACACAATCCGTATCATCCTCTTACTTAGAACTCTCTCTTTTGTTGCTCCAGGCAAGTAGAGACCAGTGGTCTTACATTGGATGGCCACGTGCATGCACTGTGCACCTAGGAAGTAGAACAGGAGCACAAAACACAGACTGATTAACTGGGAAGTCACATGAAACCATGACATTAAACCTCCAAACTGAGGAACCAAATTCCCTGAGGTTTTTGGTTGTACATAAGCTGCGTCTTCTGATTGTAGCTATTGTTGTAAATATATCTATCATGCAACTTTTTACCGGTGTACACCTCATTGATAACAATCATAATAATTGGATGTACAGTCTTTCTATCACCATTAAACCTCTTTTTCACCATCCCTCTTGCCCCTGGTAACCACTGAATAAACTTTGGTGCCTAGATTTATAAAAGTCAGTTTATACCACATTTGTCCTTTTGCAATTGACTTACTTCACTCAGCGTAATGTTTTCTAGCTCCACCCATATTATACTATTGTTGTGAAGTGCTGTCTCGTTGGGTCCGCTCATAGTGACCCAGGAGAGGGTTTCTGAGGAGTAGCTGGTAGATTTGAACTGCTGACCTTGTGGTTTGCAATCCAGTGCTGGTCCTGCAGTGCCACGCCCATATTATAGCATGTACTAGCTCCACGCATATTATAGCATGTACTAGCTCCATGCATATTATAGCATGTACTTGCTCCACGCATATTATAGCATGTGCTAGCTCCACGCATATTATAGCATGCGTTAAGACTTTGTTTCTCCTACTGACTGAGTAGTGTTAGAGGCTATGTTCTTATGTAAAAGTCCTTGGAGTGTTCAAATGGTTTGTGTTCAACAGTGCTGTAGGATCAGCACTGGACTGCTCTCCGCAAGGTCAACGGTTCAGACCCACCAGCTGCTCCTCAGAAACCCTATGAGTCAGAACCAACTCAATGGCACTTCACAACAATAGCAACACTAACATAAAGGTTGGTGGTTCGAGCCCATCCAGTGGCACCACAGAAGAAAAGTCTGGCAATCTGCTTCAGTATAGATTACAGGCAAGAAAATTCCATGGAACAGTTGTATTCTTTCTCACATGGAGTCTCCCTGAGTCAGAATCAAAGGTAACAGAGGTGGAGGAGTTTTTTGTTCTCAAGTCTAGTCTATCCACACATTCTTAGTTTCTGAGTTGTGGGTAATGGTGGCCGAGACTATAGACTGGTTTTTGCCCTGGGCTTGCTGTTGCTGTGGTGGTTGTTAGATGCTGTGGAATTGGTTCCAAGTCGTAAGGACCCTCCACACGACAAAAGGAAACACTACCCGGTCCTGCACCATCCTCACAATTGTTGTCACCTACTGCCACTGTGCTAATCCATATCATTGGAGGGTTCCTCTTTTTTTGCTGACCCCCCGCTTTGCCAAGCATGATGTCCTTCTCCAGGGACTGATAACATATTTAAAATATGAGAGACAAAGTCTTGCCAACCTGCCTTCTGAGGAACATTCTGACTACTACTTTCAATACAGATTTGTTTATTCTTCTGGCAGTCGGTGGTACTCTAAATATTCTTTCCCAATACTGTAACTCAAATGTTGCAATTCTTCTGTGGTCATTCTTATTTCTTGTCCAACTTACACATTCAATTGAAACTACT